GATCTTGCTATCAAGTCAAGAAAAGTACACGCACGTAGCATTTGTTCATTAGTGAGTGTTGCTAATCACGATATTGCACTGCTCTACTGTGTGGTGCATTTCACTCTCGCAATTACTGTTTGTGGATAGAACTGCTACGGAATTACTTTAAATGTTTGCTTGTTCCATCTGAGAGACAAAAACACAGAAACAGTCACTGATATTCCCGAAGTTTTAGCGACTATTGCATGTCCGATAGGTAATTGTGCAGTGTGGAAAAACTATTGCTGACTGGTGCGGTAGTATGCTCAGCAAGTCAGGAATGCATAGATTTTACCACAATCTTCCATGAATTTAGTTTGTCATCTACTTATGTACTGTAATCAGCAGGGAAAATATTATCAACTTAGAGGTTTATATGTGGTAAAGTAATAAAATACAGTACTCGTAATTGCGCATTTTTGATCAAAGACGATAAAAAACAATAAATACTGTTTGTTGAGTCTTCCTAGATAGAACAAAACGGGAAAAGTTTGGTCATATTTCTAAAGATAATATCATAACGAAGGGAGCATTAAAAGTAATAAATAGTTACAATTCAAAAGATGCAAAAAACAAAGAAGCAACTTCAGCTGATGTCTTGGAAGTATGAAGAAGAACTGCGATACAGTTTTCAGAGATCGAGAAAGTTTTTTATCATACTGCAAAAGCTTACAGTTGGGCTTCAATACCTTTCTTCATTATTACTCACTTATTATCACTATTACGATTCATTAATATCCACATGCAGCAAAGTTGAAATGATTAATAAGTGTTGTTAGATGAATTTCCATCCAGTCTGAGTCCAGCCAGCAATCACTATACTTTCCTCATCATTCTGCTTCACAATAACTGATCATAGAAAGAACATAACTCATATTGATATGATTTTATTCATCTGCTGATAATCCGCTAATAAATTGAGTACTTGATTCTTCAAAAACTGACTGTCAGTAAAACATTACGTATGAAACAATCAAGTCACTGAAAACTATTTGAGTATGAATCCAGGAAAATAGTATGCAACTAAATTGTAGTATTATTATTTTCTTCAGTTTACCTGTCAAAATAGATTTTAAATTGTGTAGTTTCAATACGAACTTAAAAACTACAGAAAACAATTAATAAAATAAAATATAACTGGAAAATTTCATCCTATTTCATAAAATATCTTACTTTTGCGGTTGAAATTGAATGATTGTTAAATTTCAGTTTCTATACGATTTTCAGATTCTACGATCTGAAATCATTTCTTTCACTTATTTATGAGAATAATTGATTCCTTTTGAATTAAACAAGTTTCAATTTATTTACAAAACATAGGAATCAGTTTCAGAACGTGTTTGGAAAATTAGAAAAACCAATCGCCATTTTATTATTCTCATAGTTTCATGAAAATTAAGTATCAATACGAATTCATAATAGATCAGATGCTTACTTTTACTACTTATTGATTGCATACAATCAAATTCAAAGAACGAAAGTATTTAAGGGATCTCAGAAGAACAATCTGAACTGTGGTAAAAAGAAAATTAGGCATTTCTATACTTTCTTACAAATAAATTTTTACAAATAAGTACTAAAATAAACTTTTGTTGAACGATTGCTTTCTTATTTACTGCCAAACTGAATTAAAGGCATTTCATTATAGATAAAATAAATAATTAATTGTTAGCAGGTAATCAATAAAAAGTAGATAAAAACCATATAAGTACGTCAAAATAAGTCAATGAATAAATAAGTACGTCATAATAAGTCAAATATTAACAAAAAGTGAAAAATGCAATTCTTTTTGTGATTATCAAAAAGTCCTTGAAAAATTACAAATTTGCCTCATTATATACGTTACTTTGACTTTTACGTCTTTTATGTTTGCTCGTGTTTCTTGCGTGTTTAGACTACCTAAAACACTTTTATCAATATTTATTACACTGAATGCCTTTGGCCAATATGTGTAACGTTTATGCTTCTGCAAAGCAATATGCTAATGCTTCATCTCCGTTCAATTTTATCATATCTGAAGCAGTAAAAATTATCTCGAAAACTTGAAATAATCTTATTAAAATATCTCGAAAACGTAAATTGCTGTTGACTTAATAAAATTAATTCTGCTTCATTTTAAGTAATTATCACAGCTAAAATAAGGGTTGTGGCAATTTTCAATAAGATTATTTCAAGTTTTCAGAATAACTTCATTGCATAATTGAGAAAAATCGTGTTGTTTCAGAGAATAATTATATTTGTGAAGAATTGTTGTAAAATTCTGTGAAGCAAATCATCTTTCTGTTGCAAAAATGTGCTAATTTAGTTAACAAATTTCATATTACTTAGAATGAATTCAAGAACAAATTAAAAAATTGCAAAATTCAAATATTGTTGTTGAAAATTTCTTGAATTGCTGTGAAGTAACGCTTTATTATCCGATCATCAAAATGACAGTATGAAGAAAATGGCAATGAAGGAATCACAGTAACTGATACAAAACAGACACTCATATCTTTTGACTGGTTGCTCTGCTAATTTTGCTTTTATCAGTTCTTTGCAAATAATAATTTGGCTTTTAGCTGAAATTATAAAGTACCAGCATAATACTTTAAGAATTTTCAATTGTAACATTTGATTTTAAAAAAAACAAATTTTCGTTTTTAATTATACAAAATTTTACTATCTTTTTTTACGTGAAAAGAAATAACAACCAAATTTTGAGCAGAATATGCAGAATTAAGAAGATATTTCAAATAAAGAAGGACTGTACATTGGAAAGAAATATTTTATGAACATTTTTGTTATTGATAAATCAAATATTTGAAAGCAAAGATGTAATAAGACATGTTCATTTTAAAACATTTGAAAGAGTTTTTAAAAACATTCAACTAATTAATAAATTCAAGAAATCATAAGCAAATTAGTAAACGAAAATAGAATACAAAATTAACTACGTATAGAAATTAAGGACTTAATTTTAAAAATTAATTATTCAGTCTTTTGGTTCTAAAGTTATATAAAATACAATATATTTGTTTTCCACCAATAGCATTCATTTCACTATTAATTTTAGGCTTAGTAACTTAGAAATAGCCTAGTTTTAAAAGTAACTCAGTGATAGCCTACTTTAAAAGTAACTCAGTGATAGCCTACTTTTAAAAGTAACTCAGGGATAGCCTAGTTTTAAAGCACTAAATTTGTTACTCAAAATAATATACTTAATAAAATATTCATTTTTTAATGGACAATAAGGATTCCTTTGAATTCAGCTCCTTTCTGATCATATTTATTAGTTAAGCCAAAAAGTTGAAATTAAGGGAGCCAAGTAAGAAAGTATTATGAATAGCTGCCAGGATATTCTCCAAATTTGTGGAGAATTATTGCGCCATGCCAAATCTAAAATTATATCAACAAAAATTTATGTTCAAAAAATAAGACTGGCTAAATATCAAAGTGTGGTTTATCTCTTGCATTTCATTGATATAAATTTTTTACAAAAATTCCTTCTTTTTTTTTACAAAATAATTATTAATCAAGAATTTTTTCAATCACGTCATGTCGTTTTCAATCAAAATTATTATCGCTTCAAAAAAAAAAATTTTTATCAATCCTTCTATGATTTCTTACTAATCCAATAAATTATTTTTGATTATAACTAAATTTTTCGTCTCAAACTATTTGACTTATTAAAAAGCTCCAGTAAGATTTGTGCTTTAATAATATTTGAATACATCAGATCAGATTATATCAAATCAGATATATTGAAAACTCATGAAAACAAATAAAAAACAATTCAAAAACCTACTTGTATTCACATGCAATAAATGAGTTGATTCTGGAGCATCCAAAGTTTTACACGAGTAACTTCCATCATCCTCACTGGATGCGCTCAAAATGCGTAAAATATGAATTATTGTGTGACTATCCCGTTTTACTTTTGATATGTATTCTAAAAAATTTAAATGAATTATTAATTAATAATTATAGATACTTGAAACTTCAAAATTATTTATTTGACTTCGACTTGGATTTTTTTTTGATTCTCAAAAGTCTATGAAGACATCTAAGAGAAGACAATTTTCTTGAAACAAATGTGCGTCAATCAGATAGATATCTCAAAACTTCTTCAGAATAATATTTTGATCGTTTCATAAGTATTTGTTTAAAGTTTATATCTTTTATTATTTGACTTATTATTTTTTTAAATATTTGCATGACTAATTTTCTCAACTGACTTTCACTATTTCTGAAGTCAATAAGTTGTCCATCCCTCCACCATTCTACTTCATTGCTTACACTATTTGTTTCATTGCCAATTATTATCGTACAGTTCAACAGTACTTCATTACCAACCATATTTGCCATTAAATTTGTTGTTCGTCCTTTAAAAAATTGCAGTTATTGTTAATTTTTTTAGTATATATATATACCTATTCAATTAATTAATTAGCTATTAATTTTTTTATTTGTTTTTCATTTCATTCATTCATTCATTAATTGTTTTAAAATACTTATCCTGCTACTTTTTTATTCTTTTACTTATTCAAATAAAAATCTATTTATTTAAATACAATTATTTTAGTGAAGTTTGAATGTCTGAAGCAGTACGAAAATAGGATTTCCAAAAGCAGTTCACACATTAGTAATGTTTTATTATATTGTAGAGACAGGCTGTACAGAAGCGCAAATATTCTCAAAAATAGTTCATGTTCAAGTACTGGAAGTAATTAATGACTATTTCAGTGTCACGTCAATTTTCAGTGCATATAATGATTCTTTTTTCCTTGCAATCCATCCATAAATCAAATAAAAATTTGAGCAAGTAAAATCTTTATAAATATATGCATATAAATTTTTTATGGAAATATGTTCATTTTATATGCTGAAGTTATTTCAATTGTGTATCCTCACGTAATTTTTATTTTTTCTCTCAGAAATCAACGAACTATTATACGCTAAAATTTATGCCAAAAAATAAATAAATAGTGCTTTGCTTTAAAGTAAAGCTTTTTGTGTACATTATTCTTTGATTTGGTAAAGCTAAGCAATTAACTTTCATAGCTTTCATTCTTTCAAGTTTTATTGTTTTCTTTATTCGTTCAAAGTAATTTGAGTGCAAAATTTCAAATCAAAAAAGTAAAATTTTGGTAATTTATGCTTGTAATTGTCGAAATTAAAGATTCAGATGTGAAAAAAAAATTGTGAAGTCCTTCAGTGAATTAAAATTATAGTCTAATTATTCTAGTTGAAGGAAATTAATTACTTGTTGAAGGAGATGACTGTTTGGAGTTGCGGATCTCTGAAACATATTAACAAATAAATTCCATAATACACAATATTTTGATCTTTGAAGTCATTTTCATTGACATGTGATCAAACTTTTTTAAATCGCTATTATTTAATATCTATTACGAAAATAGTACAAATTTTTCAAATTTTACCAAGTATTTATAGAATCTCCAAATATTTAAACTGTTCCAAGTTTGTCTAATACTTGAGTAATATTGTTTCTACTTTTTCCTTTTATGAACAAGTTAAAGCAAAATTAAGGCAATTAAGCTTACCAAAAACATTTAAGTAAACGGCGTATACAGTACTTTTTGGTTCTGTATTTACTTCACACAAATAACAACCGGAATCAGACTTTTCAGTTCGCCTAAAAGTTGAAAGAAATTAAAAATTTGAAGCACAAAATAAAACATTATTAGATAATAATTTATTATTTATTTTATTGCTTTCAAAGTTTGATCTGTTGAGTCCAACAATTTTTGCACACAAATGTACGTATGCAAAGACGAATTATGCAAATATCTTAAATGAAAAATAAAGTCCGAAATAAAATTTTATAGTTTTTGCTCATTATTAAATAATAATTGTCATAATAAATATGCAATAGTTTTATTCAAATTATTCTTTGCTTTTTGCCCATATTTGTGATCGTCATTACTACTGTTGTAACTAATCTTCTATTTTCATTTTTATATTATACGTTTGCAACGCAAATTGAAACAAACAAAACTTAAAGGAAGCAAAGATTATATATAATCCTTAAATTTAGCTAACTAAATTTGTTAGCCAAATAACATGCTTTATGTTATGGACATAAAAATATATCCCTTGACATAATTAATTTTGATGGGTTGAAAAGTAATGCTTATTTTCAGTTTACCTAATAATTAACATCCAATCAGCTTCAGAAGGCTTCAAAGATATTTGAAATCTAGGGTCAGTTGTAAAGGATTGCTGACCAGCAGTCAGTAATGCCTCATCACGTAAACGTGTCCATGCTACCTAAAAGGATATATTATCTTCTCAGTTTACTTACTTAAAATAGCTTAAAAATTGATGAAAGTATAATTTTGTCTAATTCCTGCTGACAGTTAGTGAAAGAAAGCAACTGTTTAGCTCACTTAAGTACTGATTATTAGCATATATTTACTTATATCTGAAATAATTTTTTAAATTAAATTTCTCGAATTTGCTTTTAAATTAGTGACATGAAAATTGATTACAACAATTAATAAAATTTGACTTATAATTTCACCATATTTTGATGCAAGTGTGGTATTACGCAGTGCAAATACGCAGCTTCATGTAATGGGACTTGAACCACTCGTTCTTGTATTCCACTGATTTTTTCATTATTTACATTAGATTGTTCCATTAGAGAGCATTCCCGGTATTTCTCAAATGTTGACAAGGATTGAACCGCTAAAAATTAATAATTATTCCAAGTTTTTTAGTACTTCATTTAGTATAAATTTCAAATTTTGAAAATACATTTCTCACTTTTGCTGATTTTTAATACTTATACTTTATGAATAAGTCGCAAGAGAAGTGCTTAAAACATTCCAGTAAAGTATTATGATTTTCAAACTTTTTTAGCAATTTTTCAAAACATTTCAAAAATTAATTATACGTAAGTTTTCTTGTTTAAATGACTTAGAAAGTAAAAGTAAACTCTGATATTTACATGCTGAATTTCTTAAACAAATTAAAACATGAAAGTGTCATTTCTCTTATCTTTTTAATTATCTGCAATGATTATATTTCTGAATATTCTTGTTTTCTTAACTAATAGAAATTAGCATTGAAAAGACTGACTCATGAATAAATGAAGTATTAATAAATGGGGTCAGTTCGGTTAACCAACTGTATAAAGAATTTGACCTCTACTGGAAAGGTTAAATGGACTCGGTACTTAACTGCTTCCTTTTTAATAGAAGCAGTAATAAAGTTTTAGCTTTTATCTCACCTTCTGTAAATGTTCCTCGGAAACATTTCAGGTAGAAGAAACTCATACGAAAGTACTCCGAATTTTCAAATCTATTCACTTATTTAAAAATTTTTTACTTACAATTTTTGTAATGCTTAAATATAATTAAATATGCAACATAGTTTTTTCAAAATTTCATAAATTTTCAAGCTTTCAATTTTTGTATTAAAATAAGAAATATTTTTATTGACAACTAATATTTATTGCAAAGATAAGGTATTTATGAAAGAAATAATAAAATTTACACACTTAATTGAGAAATATTTACTTAAAGTGATTTAAAGTATTTTAATATAAACTCAGCAATATCTAATCAATCAAAATAGTGATATTTAATTATTATGATATTAATCGTACCGTAAAGTGATTTGTGTAGATTATATTGTGCAATAAGCAATGTCATTATTTATATGCATTTGATGAATTAGTTCTTGACTGAAGTAAATTAAGCGTTCTAGATTAGATCGAAAGAAAATTTTTAATTCCGTTGAGTATGGGAAGCAAGTTCTGCTTTCAAGAAGAAATAAACATGTATAGCTTTATATTAGTGCCAGGCAAAAAAAAATACTAAGAAAAGACTCATTTCAGTGACAGTTAAGAGTTGATTTTATAATGTTCCCATAGGGACAATACTAAGTTTATACTTTGGCTGTTACAAATTAGACAAAATGATCTTAGCTTATGCTAAATTTAAATTTTAAATTTTAAGACACTTATTTAAAAGACATTCAAATACTCGCATAAATAGCACAATTTGATTACCAATGCATCAATTTTTTTAGTCTATTCAGCATTGCCTTTGACTGCGTTATTTGAAAATTTCAAATTATATTCAAATTCAATTCTTGTTTTTAATAGTTTGCTCTCGAAATAATCTAATAATGTAGTAATAAATCATAAGTGAGTCAAAACTGAATTATTTTTCAAAAATTTGAATTTTTCACGACAAAAACTGGCTAGTAGAAATTTTATAACTAAATTATATATATATAATTAAAACCAGTTTTTATATTCCAAAAATTTGTATTTTTATTCACAAGAATTAATTAGTAAAAATATTAATCATTGTCTCTGACTGCGCTATTTATCATTGCCACTACAGAATGTTTTCATATTTTCAAATATATACGTGTATGCTAGCATTCTGTAGCATATCAAAAATTGCTCAGTTCTGTTTGCATGATGTATTAGCGATACTCAGGCTATTCTTGAAATCATTGATGGACGAATTTTGAAAGTTAATCTCATACTTGTCGCCAGCATAAAAGGCGCAATGGATAATCTTAAATGATTATATTTGTTCTGCACTAATCAACTTATATTTACTATCTTTTCATTTCCAAACGTTAAAATGTGTTATTTACGTCAAGTAAAAGACGCTGAAATTTCTCGCTTCTTTGCCAAGTTTGTTCCAAAAAACTTTTTACTTTAAGTAAACTTTCTGGGGCTAAAAAAGATTGAACTTCCCAACTTTTGTAGATTTTTTGCTTAAAAAAATAGTGAGAAGTAATAGTAATGGCGAAAAATTAGCATAGTATCATAATTATGACATCAGTAGACAGAAATGATAGTGCTATCAAAGAGATAATGAATTATGGGATAGTTATATTACAAGTAAGAATGATAATATTATTGGAATATCACTATAACAGTGTTAAAGTGCATCCAATTTCAAATATATCCAAATTCAAAGATTTTATTTTCCAGCGAAAATGTTGCTAAAAGTTCAAGGTACACTTTGCACTAATTGGAAATATTAGGAAAAGGTCAATGCACTAAAAAGTAATTAGCATATTGATTTAATACAATGAAATATAATCTTCTCAGTATAATTTCTGTGGCAATTTAGCTAATTTAATGATATAATTACTGATTTATTGCAGCCAAAAGTTGCTAAAGTGTTATTTTGAAAATTTATATCTGAAATGGATTTGAATTACTAATCAGCATGAATTTGAAATTGAAATTAAATATTTATCGCAGTGCATTTTAGCATGAAAAGTACCATTTTTCAGAAATAATTGCACATATACACAATTCATAAATTGCTTAAAGCTAAGATGAAGAGCTGAAATGACTATTAATCCACTGTGATTAGCACCTCTTGCAAGCTCTATTAACCTCTGACATTGATGAAGCTGTTTGTGACTGTCCAATAACACTTCATTTAATAATTTATGCAATTTCTTCAATAAATTACTACAAAAATTCACTCTTTGCAGAGCTCTGAAATGCAGAAAAATGATTTTAGTTTACATAAAGTTTGTTTAAAGTTTTAATAAAAATGATTAATGTCCAAAAATAAAAATAATAAAATAAATCTTGTTTTACTTTATAATAAGAAAATAAACTTTTAAGCAAAATTTGTTGCCAAAAAAAGGCAAAATTAAGAATAGAAAAAATACTATAATTTATTCAAAATTGCAAAAAACAATAGAAGATGGTCTTGAATTTGCATAATTTAGATTTTGTCTGAAAATATCCATCGCTAAATGCTATTGGGAGAGAAAATTGCGCGGATTCATGCTAAACGTCGGACTATTTTGTGAAAAAATCGTTTTCTTGAAAGAGAATTTTTTCAAAAATTAGTACTTCTTTAGTTGTAGAGCAGATCATTTATTGCATGATAATGCCAATTGGAAGAAAAATGACCATTGGGTTAATTTAGGTTGATTTTTGATCATATTCTGTAATTGTTTCGTATCATATTAAATTTCGCGCTTTTTTTTGCAAATTACTTTTTATTCATCTAAAGTTTGACAGATTATAAATTGTAAAGAAAATTGAAGAAAGAATGTTGCTTTGCTAGCAGTTATAATAGTAGCTAAGGTAAAGTAAGGCCTAGCCAACAATTTGAAGTACTCGTGATGGTCAAAGTTAAAGTAAACAAATCATTGATGCCAAAAGGGGCAAAGTTTGTTCTAAGTTAGCCATCTGATATCACTTGCGATATTAAAGAAAACAAAAGAGAGTGTAAAGGTAACTAGCAAATTATTTGAAGTAAAGCCACGAGAAAGTATGTAAATTGAGAAGATATCTTCATGTCACTTTTTGTTTGTTCATAATAACGAGACAATCAGCACTGAAGTCGACAATGAGAGAGTAATATGGATAAAGCAAATATTTAAATTTTTTCTATTAATAGAAAATAAATTTGTCTGTGTAAAATCAAAATAATATTTGTGTGCAAAATTGATGTAATTAATTTATCACTAATTATCGTCAGACAAATTTGAATATTTATAAATTTTACAAAAAAATTAAAATAATAAATAAATAATAAATACTTTGATAGTATTTTTTGTGCTTAATTATACTTCTGAAACACTTTTTTCTAAGGCAACCGAGGGAAAAACATGGAATTTGTTTCATCTTAAAGCTTAAAAAATCTCAAATTACTTATTTACAAAAGTTCTTCTCAAAAAAGCTAATAAGTCTGAATATACTGCAAAAAGTTTCAAATAAGTCTAATCTTATGTATTTTTTTAAACTTCTTTAATTACTAATTCCAATGAAGCCATGTAAAAAATCAAGAATGAATGCAATTTATCAGAATTAAACAAAAAACTTTAGTTATTTTTTATAAAGTATTGCAAGTATTAAAGGTTATAAAGAATGAATAATTTTGATATTAAATTTGAATATGCAAAAAATTTGCTTGCTCAAATCAAATTTAAATTAGTAAACAAAGAAGAATGAATAAATTTTCATTTGCAATACTGCTATTATTTGAAATCAAAATTTTGAGCAGAGTGCTAAAGTTACGTAAATAACTTACTTTGCATCGATGCGTTAGAGTTTAGTGATGAATTTATTCTGTATTGCTTTGCTATGACAAATTATTTAGCTAATATTAATTTTATGGCAATAATTAAAGATTTAAAAAACATTTCTTCTCATCAATTTTGTGAGCAAAAATGCTTAAAAACTCAAAAATTGCCTTTTATGCTACTATTTTTTCATTAACGCAATAAAAGCGCTTATGAACACTACGTCAAAAATTACAGAATGTTTTTTAGTGCATAAAGAAATCACTGAGAAAAGTTATCAGTACACTTTACTTGCCTTTAATATATTTTTTATTTTTTTGATCTTTGAATTTGTTAAAATTTTCATGACATCTTTTGTAATGCTATTAATTTATATAATACTTTGCTTATAATAAACAATTTTTCTATCTATACAGACAGAATGAATATTTTAAGACTAATCTAATCAAAAAGTCTGAAATCAAAGCTTTCTAGTCGTGAATTCTAGATTTTTTATTACAAGTTTTTTGCCAACCCAAATTGATAGTGACAGCGTCAAGCTATGATGAATTATAAAAAATCAAATGAACATTGACCTTGACAAAGTAAAAAAGCTAAATTTATAAAATGGATACTCTT